CGACTCATGGCAGCCCAGCTCCAGGTTGAGCTGTTGTTCAGCATCTTAGCTGTGGAGGGCAGTTCACTGGCCCTCATATGTGGGATCCGAACCGGAGCCCTCTGGCATCCCAAGCGAGTTAGTTCTTAACCATCGCGCCACTCGGCCGGCCCCCATTGGCTTTTCTTTATAGTATGGATTCTTAAACATGTGCAGATTCTTGTATGTGTGGATTTTTAAAATATCCTTAGATTTGCTTGATTTAACTCTACAAAATGGCATACTATATATTGTCTTCTGCATCTTGTTTTTTTCACTCAACACTGTGTTTTCAAGATTAACATTTGTGTTGAAATATCTAGTCATAATTGATATGTGCAAGAATTTGTCTACAAGTGGAATTGCTATTTTTTGGGTGTATGCACAATTTTAAATTCATAAGATAGTGCCAAAATATTTCTCAAACTTTTCTTTTTAATATTTTATTGGGGAATTGGAGAAGGGGAACAACATTGGGGAATTGGGGAAGGGGAAGAGACAAGTTGCTGTCCTTTTCTTCTTCAGTCTAGTTGTGGAGAACATCGCTTCACTGGCCCATGTTGATATTATCATTGCGTTCTTCCTGGGTGAGGCAGTTGTTTGCCAGTCATTGGACAGCTGCTCACACAGCTCACGGCAACTCACGCCAGTTGCTGGCCACTCACGCTGGCTGCTAGCCACTCATGATAGCTCACAGCAGCCCACTGCAGCAGGGGCTGCAGCCTATGCCGTTGCTGTCGACTCACAGCAGCCCAGATCCAGGTCACCATCTTAGCTGTAGAGGGCGCAGCATCACTGGCCCTCATGTGGGATCTGAACTGGAGCCCTGCTGCTCAGAGCTGGCATCCCAAGCCAGCTCTTAACCAACATGCCACTCAGCCGGCCCAATTAATTAATTAACCAAGATTACTCTACCTAGCAAAGCTATTAATTAGAATCGAAGATAAAGAGCTTCTCAGAGAAAAAAACCAAAAGGAGTTTATCACCACAAAAGCAGTATTACAAGGAATCTTAGAGGGACTTCTTTAAGACAGAAATAATAAAAAATATGAATAATAAAATGGAAATAACTACATAACTATCAACAATTACTTTCAATGTAAGTGGATTAAATGCTCCAATCAAAACATATTGAGGCTGAATGGATAAGAAAACAAGACCCTTACATATGCTGCCTATAAGAGACCCACTTTAGATTGAAAGACACACAGAGACTGCTAATAAAGGGATGGAAAAAGATATCTCATGAAAATAGAACAAACAAAAAACCAAAAATCTGGGGTAGCAATACTTAAACCAGACAAAAGAGACTTTAAAACAAAGACTATAACAAGAGACAAAGAAGGACCTAGTAATCCCACTTCTGGATATCTAGCCAAGGAAACCCAAAACACTACTTTGAGGGATTGTACTCATCCATATGTTCATTGCAGCATTATTTACAATGGCCAAGATATGAATGCAACCTGAGTGTCCCTGAATGAATGAATGGATAAATAAGAGGTGGTACATACACAATGGAATATTATTCAGCTGTAAGAAAGAATGAAATCTTGCCATCTGAGACAACACAGATGAACCTAGAGGGTATTTTGCTGAGTGTGGTAAGTCAGACAGCAAAAGACAAATGTCATATGATTTCACTTATAAGTGGAATGTAAAGAACAAACTAAACAAATAAAACAGAAACAAACTCATCACAGAACATTTTGATGGTTGCCAGATGAGAGGGGCTTGAGCATGGTTGAAAAAGGGAAAGTACAAAATGGTTGTTACACAGTAGTCCTGGGGATATATGGAATAGTATAAGGAATATAGTCAATAATATTGTAATAATGATGTACGATGTCAAATGGGTACTAGATCTGTTGTGGTGATAAATGAGAGGAGGATTGGGGGCAGGGTAAAAAAGGTGAAGGGATTACGAAGTACAAACTGGTAGTTACAAAATAGTCATGGGGATGTAAAGTAAAGCATAGGGAATATAATCAATAATATGGTAATAATTCGGTATAGTGCCAACTGGGTACTAGTCAGGGGGGCCACTTCTTAATGTATAACCACTATGCTGTACACCTGAAATTAATATAAAATAATATTGAATGTCAGCTATGCACTTGGCCCAAAACCATGCACTTGGGCCAAGTGGCCTGGTATACCATACGGGATTAGAGGCACCTGTGATGGGAAAAGATGTCATTTGGAGGTTTTGGCAGGTGATAGGAGAATCATAATATAGGCACCTATAACAAAGCCATGGCATCTGCAGTGGAGAATCATACACTTTTTAAAATATAGCTTTCCTCCCTAATTTTATGCTTTTCCATATTATTTACTTTTTAAACCAAAAAGAGCTCTTATTGTATTTAGTCAGGAAAAACACTATTAAAAAGCTACTCTGACTGTGAAAAAGCCATTATAGAGCTTCTCATGATGCCAGTGACCCTCTCACTAGCTCATTTGTTATTGTTTTCAAAAGTCCTCTGAGCCCATCCGTGGAGTATAGTCACCCAGTGAGTTTTCTTGCCTTTCATAGTATTTTCATTCTAACATGTCCTGTTCCAGGATTTTTTTAATCCCCCTCCTTTTTTTTTTTTTTTACCATCTGCCACAAGCGTTCTGACATTTCTAGTTCACTTCTGAAGACTAGCTGTAGCTACAGCAGGAGGGACTGTAGTTAATCCCATTAATGCTCCTCTTGTATATTTCCTCTAGAAGAGACCAACCAGGATGCCAGAGCAAGTGCTTCCAAAGGTTATTTTATGAAGCAGATTGATCTGTGTAGCACAAGGCATGACTATATAGCTATGTGTGCTGCCCAGATCCCCATCCAGGAATGAAATCCTATTTCCCCCAGTGCTGGAAGTGTTGGCAGCTCTCAGCTGAATTCCTTTCCAGGACTTTCCCTTGACTAACGAGAGCCATGTTGCCAAGGTCTTGCCCTCTCTCAGGTATAGTCCGTATGCAATGACTAATGAATATGGATCATAAAGACAAACCCCTTTGCCTCAATTTGGGACAACTCTGCAAGGACAACCCAGTTTTGGGGCTCCCTGTAGGTTTAGCTGAGGCCTTGGTTGTGACTGCATCACAGTTCAATTCCTTCTCTGAACAATTCTCCCCTTTCCTTCTTCTACAAATGTTGATCCTGTGATCACTTTCCAGTATAATTCTTACACGTAAAACTCTCAGAGTCTATTTCATGGGGAAAGTAATCCACAA